TTTGCATTATAATTTACAAAATTCTGCAACTGGAGTAAACAAAGTCATTAGAACATAGAATAAAGGAAATCTATAGCTTTCAATATATTATAAATATGCACATTCTGATTTGTGTTGTGTGAATATCAAGCAATTCTAGGAGTCACTGCTTTCTCAATAAATTACAGTGAATGTTTCAGGGTAGAAATGGTTCTACATCCGTTTCCAATTTCAGTGTGGTGACAGTCATATTGTTCCTAATACGAAATGCATGTTCTGTCTTGCTTTAACTGTGAATGGGTTCTAGGGTGGAAGATGACTACTCAGTGGAAGCTGCCCATGCTGCCAACCCAAACAAAACGTAAGTGAATACTGTGTTTATAACCTCTGAAAAATCTCAAGAATCACAACATGAAAACCTTCCCACGGAGATCACAAAACAATCCTTGCCACTATTTTTCTAAATATCGAATATATTAAATAATCTTGATTTTAAATGGAAGTGCATTTGGTTTTTGCATAAACTGAAAATGCATGTTTTTGACAAAATATACCAATATTAAAGACTCAGGCCTATCAAACTTTCTTTGACATGGAATTCAAAATGAATCTATATTGTGATTTTGCATAGCTTGCTAGCTATTCCTTCTGTTTATTCAATCTTGGCCTCATCAGGAATATTTCCTGTCATACTTCAATTGAAAAAAGTTGAGGAGCCAATGAGGGATCCATGACACCAAGAGCTCTGCGATCAACAATAATCTTTGTTGCTTTAGTTACAAAGTCCAATTTCCCTAACTCAGTGGAGAAGAAGGGCATTCACCTTATTGTTATCGAAGATGATTTAGCAGAGAAGGAGGATAAAATATTTGACAATGAAGTACTTAAATTAGTTACTATGAATACTCGATCTGGCATATTCAGACACAGTGTGGATATTTTGGCCTTGACTGGTCTGGTCATTCAACAATCAGTGATTCTGCATGAAGGAGAGAGTGGTCAGACCCTCTTGGCTTTACCCCATAACGTACAGCTCAGCCAGCCAAGTGCTTACAACTGAGCTTCTAGGTCAGAACCAGAGGTTCTAAACTTGGTTGGTGGGAGGAACACTCACATACATGTTTATTTTTTTAAAACCCCAATATTTGACAAGCTTTCAAACTGCTTCCTAATGTTTCATTAAAATCCTAACAGTGGTTATGACAATGTGTTATTTCAAAAAATAAATAAAAACTACTTTAAAACATCACACTCAGAAACCGATGATGAGGAAGCAACTGCTAGCCCTACTCTTCTATTTCTTTTCCTCAGTTGTTCTCTGACCAAGTACCTTCATTCAGATGTAATACAAGTCATGACCTCATTTAAATAATAATGCAGTGATAATATAATAGTCAAGGATGAAAGTGAGCTAACTATAAAAAGCTTTGGATAGTATCACTGTGGTCTTCTACCATTGTTATGAAAAAGTGAAATGGTCTTTTCCACAGTTACCTCTGGCTGTGTTACCATAAAAATGAAAAAGATGGTTTGAGCTAAGGATCCTAGAGTGTAATGCTGTAATAACCTTTTTCTTCTCCTTATCGCAACACATTACCTTTAAAAAAAATCTGAGGGTAAGACGAATAAATTACATTAATGAAATTAACATTTTTTCATTAGAGAAAATTATTTAAACTTTCTAAAGGAAACATACAACAGGCCTATTAAATTTGGAAATAATACAAATTGCCATTCTAAACAGAAATGGTTCGTTTGGATAATGCATTTAATAGTCGTTTGGCCAAGAAGGCAACATCAGTGTAATCAATAAAAAGATCTGCATAATCCACTTAAAACTCAGTGCATCAAAAAATAAATTTTAAAAATAAAATCTTTCCAGAGTCTCATCCAAATGCCAATATTAAAAATTGAGAGAAATTATAGAAAAAAATCCTGAATGTCTTTTTTTTTTTAATTAACATATAATGTATTATTTGTTTCAGGAGTACAGGTCTGTGATTCATCAGTCTTGCACAACTGAATGTCTCTTGCTTTCCTTGACTATCATGCATTACCTCCTTAGGTTAAAATTCAATTGGAAAAGAAAGTGTTAATACCAGTGACCACAACTTGCCTCTTATTACCACATTTGGCAATTTACCTTTACAGATGCCTCTCGATTATTAGGAGAAGTGAAGGAAAATTCCATTATTGGGGTGGAGCAGCTTGTGCTTATAACAATTATGACTTCAATCTCTATCATTTACTCTAACCTACCATGAAAAATCAAATATTTACATTTACACTACAGAGTGAAATTTTTAAAAGTTATTTTAATTTCAGGAGCCTTTAAAAGTACATGTCTTGAAAGACTTGGAATTTGTGGTTGGACTAGATGTCCTTGCAATGTCAGTATTCTATAAAAATCTCTCTAAAGTCTGTCTGCCTCTGTTAGAACTTCACCTTTACCACTCAAGAGCTATGCTATCCTAACAAGTTCTTTTATCTGTTACTTCATAGGGTTTTTGCAAAAATTAAATTTGATAATCTGAATAAAGTGTTTAGCACAGCATAAACAGAGAATGAGCACTCAATAAATACAAGTCAAATTCACTTATTTAACTTCTAAGCCTGAAGGTCAAGAAGCAGATAGACTTCATTCAGTCTTTCTCATCCTTTGCCTTCATAATGTTCCTGATTCCCAGTCCAAATCTCAATGGTCTTGACCATCATAAAGCATGCAAACGCACTGGTCTCATCATGAAACTCAAAAGATAGGATATCTCAAGTTAGAAGACAGACCAAAACTCTTACAACATCTGGCACAGTAGGTATTAAAAAATTCTAGCTCATATGTCCCTTTCCTACATAACATGACTCAGAATTTTAATTAGAATATAGGACCAACTACAGATTTTAGTACTACCTAAACAAGTATGTCAGCATAGATGTTGACCTGTTTTCTCTTTACTGAAAAAAATCTCTCTCTCAAACTTCACCATGCAGTTTAATAAATTTAAATATTCAACAAAGAATGAAAGTGTTAACTGCCTTTCTCTATGTAGAAGATGATTTGTTTGGTTATGTGTGTTTGTGCATACCCCCAAGTGTTTTGAGAGGTAGAGAAGGACAGGAAAGACTGGTAGTAGAACTCCATTGTGTTTCCCTGGCCTCTGGACTTGGGTAAGAGATATTTTGTGCCCTCAATGGATGGTTGAGAACCAATTATTTTACATAAAATGCTTTGAAGATTAAATATTAGTAATAATTCACATGGACACTGCTTAACAACTGGATTTGTTTGATATAATTGGCATCATAATTCTATTTTGTTAATAAAGAATGTTCATTTTTTTAGTGCTTCTCATCCTCACATCCTTTATGGCCCCAAACTGATTTTCAGTATAACTTTTGGAAATATTACCACATACGAGAATTATAAATTAAATTATGAGAATTCTGACTTAAATTCCATTATCATGAAAACAAAATAAAGATCAAATTTATAATTATATAAATGTTTATCTTCATTGTTTCCAATGCGGAAAAAGGCCTAGGGTCAAGGAAAAAAATTTATCTTTAAGTCTTTTTTTTTTTAAGTTTTTTGGGAGAAAAAGTATCAAGGATGGAAAATAAAACCAGTAAAATACAGAGTAAGCATTTTATCCTAATATAAGAAAAATCTATTGATTTGTAAATGTTAAACATACAGAATAACTCACATTTCCAGGAAGAGACTTACTAACAAAGTCATTATTTGTAGCATCTAAATCTCTAGTTCTGGAAAATATTCTAAATGAGAAAAGTTAGGTAAAATCCAGGAGATAAAAAACTTGTAAATTTGTGAAAAATTAATAGACACTTTTGTGGAAGGAAAAAAAAAGTGAGTGGCAAGTGCCAAAATGAAGTATTGCAAATATTAATAGTAAGCTTGTGAGTGATGATTCTGTGAAAATAAAGTTTAGGGAAAATAATTTTATCAAAGATCTAAGTTTCATAGGAAAGAGGCATGAAAAACCCGAATACGTGTCTCTTTTAATGAGACCATTCTGTAGCTTCATTGTTAAAACTGCATTTTTCATAATTCATCTATGGGTACTAGAAACATCTCACATAAGCACTCTTTTACTTAAGGATGAGAAAAACCGATACTAAAGAAAAATGTATGTACCATAGATATGTTTGAATTTATTACTTGCTCAAGTCCTAGAATTGCATTAGGTTTTATTATTTAAGAGTCTTTTTGACACTTGGAAATGCATCCACGTTTGTCCTTTTGTTTTGTCTGGTGATGTGCCAGTGAGAAAAATAAGCTATAACTATAGAAATGTGGGTGTTATGGTTTTGTTTCTGTTCAAATAAACTTATTTTTGTTGCCCCTCCACATTTTTTTTTTTTTTTTGATGACTAATGGCAGATCCAGACTTAGTCAATCCTTCTCATGGAGAAGGCTGCACATACTTATACAGAGCAGTTAATAAAAGTAATGTTTATAAAGCAATGTACACCAGTAAAGCTAAGACTATAGAAAAAATCTTATATAAACTCACCAGACTCGATCTGATGCACCCATAAGCATTACCAATGACATGCTTAGATCTAAACTGTGACCACCATCATGCTCCTCTTTGTAGATTTGTTCCAAAGATGGAAATGGAAATTCTGTCTTGGACTTTTGTGAGCTCATGTAGCCTGGCACTACTAACCTATTTAAAACCTGACTCTTGTTTTTGTTCTGTGTAGCTCCACACACATCACCTCTTGGTTTATTTTCCTGGACCAAGATAAGAACATTTCCTATAGTGTCAATTTGATCTATATCAACCCTCTAAAAAAATTATATGTGTCATTCCGTAGTTGTAAGAGTTTTTGTTATCTGAGTGGTAACAACATGTAGGCTGTAAGTACAAAGTTTACACCGAGAGCAAGTTGATTGAAAATATTTATTTACATATGTGTGAAATACACATGTAATGCAACTGTGATTTGGAATGCCATGGGCCTATCACAGTGGATACAAATATAAATGTTATCAACTATTTAGCAAATAAATAAAAAATGTTAGAATGGTTAGTAAAAAGTCATGGTCAGTGATGAACGATCCCCTTAAATCTCCCTTAATATTTCTTAAATATATCAGGCATTTATAACTAATCCTTCTTTAACTTGAGAAATTTTGTCTGCTTTCAAAATGATGCCTAATTCCTAATTTGTAGTAATAGTTTTAAAATTCTGATACAACGGAAAGATTAGTAAGAGATCGAAATGTCTCTTATAGTATGTAAGATTTGCCCCCCTTGTTTCTAGGTGCTCTTGTTATTTTCTTTATACAAAGGGTCACCACATATGTACTGACTGCAGGTTTGAGTGTATTCTTTAGGATACAAGACTGTCTTTGCAGACTGAACAAATGTTAACAAAATGAATCTCATTTTCAAAAATAAAATGTTTACATGTTATCAGGGGCTTCCTAGAGTTATCAATGTTACTAATCACATATTATAACTTTTTAAATTAGAATATTCTAATTTAGGACACAATAACATCAGTGGTTTTTTAAGGTAATTCAAATGGTTTTCCTTTTTTACCTTTTTTTTCTAGTTCAAGATATACATTGAAAAATCGATTGGTTATTGGAAAAGCTTCTTTCACAATTAAGAATTTTGTTATAAGAACATCTGTCCATGTGGAGCCATGTATCTTGAGTAAGTCATGATTATTTTTATACAAAAACTTGAAAGATGAACTGCTCTGTATCATGAATACTCAATTTTTTTTTACTTTTTCTCACAAGATTGAGAATTTCTGCTGAGCAGTATGATTAAATAGAATAAGCAAAAATCATAATATTTACATGTCTTTTTCTCTTCTTTCTCTGTTCTCTCCAAAGACCTTCACTCTTTCCATGTTTATTTAATTAGTAGTTCTAAATTCCCAGACAACTTTCTTTTGCTCACATGCCAATGACTAGTAATTTTTTAGCCATCAATGCCTTTCCCCACCAACCTCTGGCCAGAGAAATTTCTAAACCCTATGAAAATATTTAAAGAGTATATCTCAGCTGATCTTCTATGAAAGAAAGAAAAAATTAATAATTTATCTTCATGTGATTTTCATTTGAGAGGAAGATGATTTCCCACTGACCTAATATCATCTTGATGTAAGAATGGAGCAGTTCTTATCTTCATTTTATTATTTATTGGTGGGGAATTGAAGCCCAGACACACCAAAGAACAGTTAATTTGCCCAAAGTTACACTGTAATTGTGACAAAGCTAGATTCAGACTCCAAGACAGAGCTCAGATACTAATCCTCGGATGTTTTCCAAAAAAATTGTTCTTCTCTCCCTTTCCATCAAGACCACAAGAGAAATATTCTTATATGTAACAAAATATTAAAACACAACATTCACATAATTACAAAATATTCATATTTTAAAGTTTTCCATGTATGATATGTACATTCTAGATAAATTTTCTCATTACCTACATAAAATTTTGGAAAAGAGACAAAATAGCTTAAAAGATAAAAATTATACAAGATAGTAGAATTCATTAAGAATATGACACATAATTTCACTAGTACCAGCCACTGCACACTTTAAAAACAGTCACTGCTCTGAAGATTAATTTTTTTAAAGTTTTCTAAAAGAATTTAGTAATTTAAAATAGAACAGCAAATGGGCCAGATCTCAGGAGAACAAAATCTCCTTAAATTTAAAGGAAGCTGTGATTTGCATTTGGGTTCCAATAGGATTAATTTTCAAAATGGCATTTTTGTTAGTGGTCATAATTAATATTCTTGTTAACATGCTGGGAACTCCAGGAGTGTATGCCTGTTCTTAAAAGCAGTTTAAAATCCCAAATTTTCTAATTCTCTTGCTCTGATCTACATACATTTTTTTTTAACTGAGTACTTAGGACAATTTTACTTCTGTACTTAATGTGAGATGAAACTGGTGTCAAAACAAAAATTTTCCATTTTAACAATGATGTATATGTCTCTATTCAACATCTATGCCCAAACCATTCTAAGTACTATTTATGTCATTGTGGGACACTGGTAGCTTTGGTATTGTCATCTGCCATTTGTGTGCCTGTGTTCTCTTTATCATAAGCTCTTGCATCTACTAGATCATATTTAGTGCAATAATATCCTAATACAGACTGGCAAAACTTGTCGTTACGATGCACAGCTCACATTTCCGTTTTTGTTTGACTTTTGCTATTACATTACAACCACCTGTCCAGGGTACAGCATCTGATCTTCTATATTATCATAGAAAAATATTGAAGGTATGTAAGTTGCTTTGGAAAATGTTTGGATTGTAAATACATATCTATTTACTCCTACTAGTACATTGTTCAGAAATATAATAATAAAAATTTTATTCTGGATGCACTGAAAGCATCTATACAGTGTAAGAATAAAACATGCAGTCGTCTGGTCCCCCATGTGCTGGCTGAGGCAACACAGAACAGGACTCTATCATTATTGCACGTATTAAAGCAAGTGTTCACCCTTCATTCAAATCTGAGTAAGTTCAACTGGTAAGAATTGCAGAATCTGGGAACCTAAAAGACTATATACAATGTTTGCTGAACACATGCATTTCTGCTGAAAAAGCAGAGTGCATTCAGCACCTCGTCGTGCATGCACATAGGAACACAGGTGACTGGAAAAGAATACTGTGAGAACTGCACCATAAACAAGCAATTGATACTTTTCCCCCCTTGGTGACAACCTGGAGGAGTTCAAAACCATGTTTCTTGCCCATGTATATGAACAATAATATCATAGGTCAGTTGAGTCGATGGCAGAACACAGCAAATATTTGCACCACTAATAAGCAAAGGCGTGGATTGCAACATCAAATTGCCCTGCTGTCTTAGTCATTCTGATATAGCTTTACACCAATGGTTATTTTTTTGAAGCATGTGGCTGAAGTTTGACCATTTCTATATGCAGATTATCTTTACCATTCACTCACCTTTAAAAGCTTAACCAAGCTTGTCTCGTACATGGTTAAATAGAAAAATACCCTGAAATTCAATAAATGTCAGAGGTCAAGAAAAAAGTACCATCTTCACCATGAAAGCAACTTAAATCTCCATTTCAAGGCTGACTCCTTATCCTGTGAGTACCTCATGTTCTTGTGCCTATGGTAGGTAGATGTTGTAGCATAGCATGGAGACATGCTCCCCTGGAAACTTCCATGCTGAGTAATGGAAGTTGTGGGCACAAAAAAGGGGAAATGGAACCCATGGCACATAACATCTGCTCTGAGACTCCTGGATTAAAGAGGCACATTTTGTGGACGTGTGAAGAAGCTCTAATAGAAATTCTAAAATATCAATTGTTTTTAAAAATTACTTTGTTCTGCACTTCTCCAGTCTGATTGCGATAACTTGTCTTTCAGTTCTGGTGGTTTTATTTGGGGATGCTGGGAGATAGTTAGAAAAGCTCATAAAAATGGCAACAATAGGTCAAAATAGCTCCTTTGATTTTGCTATCATCTTGTGCATGTTGTTAACATATATGTACAGATGCTCCGATAATGTACAAATTACTGGAATATATTTTCAACTTGATGCAAACAATAACTTCCCTGTTTCCACAGTTAAACGTCATGCATGCACCAGTTTAAAAGTATGCCTCTTTGATCGGTTTCACAAAATATACTTTGGTCAAAAGAAATAAATTTTTCTGGGTTCTTACAAATGAACATGTATTTTATTCTCAATACATACCATTTGAGGGACTAGCTATACACAACTCTTTGTGACTTTTTTTTTAGTTGATAATAGGCACTTTCTAAGAAGAGGATTTATGACTCAAAGACCCTGAAATTCAGTCTTTAGTACGCCCCTTTCCTACATGGACCTGCCTGAGCCACAGTAGTCTATTATATCAATTCAGCAGAAGTCCTGCAGTAGAACTGTGTGCAAAAAAGCTTTAGAAAATTGTAACCAGGATAAAATTATAGAAAAGCAGTTATCTGAACTGAGCAACTTGACAACTTCTTAGATTTTTTTCTAACCATGTTTCCTGTGTTATCCCTATAAACATTGTTAAGAAACATGTGTGAACAATTCTGTACCTGTGTTTCACCCTAAGTTACAGATATGCTACAAAAACTTGTCTATCTGTTTACATTCTTTTTTATTTAGATCATTATAGTTAAAATTTTGATGTGATTACTTAAATGTGTTTTGTTTGTTTCTTTGCCAAGAGCCTTTCAACCTCACCTTTGAACAAGTTTTAGAAACACAAATTGAGAACATTCATCACATTTGGAAAACCAGCATCACTAATGTGATTTGCTAAAAGGCCCTTTTACCCTGTGGTGCAGTTTTTCTATAATAATATATACTATATTAATAGTTTCATATTTATGGGGTTGATAAAATCAGCTTATAAGATGGCAGCTATTCTCCAAGACGGAGGGAGTAGGGATTTCCTTACATAAGAGTTAATGATTACTATCTAAGTACAGTGTTAAAAAAGGAGAGGTATAGTTGAGCGAAAATGCAATTCATGCACAAAACTCATAGCAATACGTTCTCAATATCCCACACTGCTATCTGATTTAGGCAACAAAACAGTCATTTAGATGGAGCAAACACTGCCTATTGGGGAAAATAACCTAACACTAAGTTACAGAAAAATATCCTATGAAAAGAGATTATAAAATGGTACCAACAGTCTAAAAGGTTGAAGTCTCCCTTGGCATTAATCTATAATTTTAACTTAACAGAACAGTGAGAAAATGACAGTTCAATATACTCAGCCTGAGATCAAATTTGTCATGGCAACATTGGCAGGTTGGACCCTGATTCTTCAAATATTACATTGCCTTGGTTAACAAAAATCATACTTTTTTTGTATTAGAATAGAGACTATAAATAAATGTAAAGTGTGCATGCAGTCAACTGCATAATATACAAGCACTATCTATGTTTTAAATAATCATCTTCTTTGGCAGGCCAGAATCCAGCTGGACATGCAATATTTACATATCAAAATCCATACTGTGTTCATCATATTGAAAGCAAGTGAAAATATATATATATATGTATATACTGTATATACACACATATGTATATAGATGTATATACTGTTTTTAATATATTAACAAATATATATATATATATTAAAAGTGCATTTCATCTTTGTCAGATTCAGGTGACTCAGGCCTTGAAACACTAAAAATATCCTGACATGGTATTTGGGGAGGTACTTGGAGAGGCATTTGGGATTTGGGAGAAGAGGTCTGGGGCACGCTTTTTTCGGAGAGTATTTTTAAAATTTCTGCCACCTGCTTTTCCAGGGCAGTCATTCTGCAGCTTAGCAGCTGAATGTCCTCTTTGAGTTCATGCTTGACTTCCTGCAGTGTGGTTTGTAAGGCCTGCTCTGGGATGGGATAAAAGGGGTGCTTGGCATCAGCCTGAATCGGGCTGTGCTCCAGCGGACTTCGGGCCTCTCCGGCCTTATCCAGACGAAGGTCACTTTTTGTAATCCCACTGTCACAAGAATCTGTTTTCCGTAATGGGTTTTTAGTAACACTGTTCTCGGAATCGCTGCCCTTGGGGTCCTCTGACAATAGCCCCATCGACTCGGCTTTCGTGACGTTATTCCAGTCTTCCTTTTTCTCCTCGTGCGCCCCCGTGTTATTCTTGAGTCGCAGCCATCCCCTCCCATTTCCGTTCTTCATCCTGATCGGGCTGTTGACCTTGAGACATTTGGGGTCAGCACCGCCATTGGGCTTGAGTTCCATGGCATCACGGTTGTTTTGCTTGAGGGACTCGCTGGTTTTCACGTAGGCCAGAGATGTCTGGATGGGCGTGATCTGTGACACAGTGACCACGCTGGTGCCCGTGATGGAGGCTCCATTCTGTAAGGAGCGGCTCTCTACCTGGAGCTGGTTCCGCTCGGGGTCGCTCTGGGTGGACCCCTGATTCCGCAGCTCCTTCTGCTGCTTGAACTTCTGGAAGAGCTTTCGGACGGGGTGGTCCACGGGGATGCTGAGGGTGACCTCGTTCTTCTGCCTGAGGCGCTCCTCTTCCTCTTTCTTCACGTCACTGATTTTTCGGAAAATGATCTGTGGAGGGGGAGAGACGTTCAGAACATGATTATAAACATAGATGGACTTACAATTGTGTGATAGGGTGCTGGATAAACTTTGTTTTACCGAGGAAACCCTCGCAGGGTAAGATCACTTCGGAAGGGGAGAAAATATCCCAATGCCATTTAACAGATGCAGTATACTGAAAACTCACCATAGGAGCACTGACTTAGCTCATGTTGTCCCACTCACTTGCATAGGGAAGGGGGAATGTAATGGAAAGACAACTGAAGAGAGGTACTTGCTTTCTAGTTTATGTTCTCGTTTAATAGGAAATATGTAAACATATATGTTAGTATATTATATGTGTGTATGCATATTATGTGTAAGGAAATACAGTAAATTTCCTTGAAATACATCATTATTTTTTGTATGTTTTCCTTTTATATACATATATATTCAATACCATTTTTAATAACATCCTCTGCTTAGGGGTCAAATTATGCGTTCCAGGCTATAAAAGTACCAAAACGTTAAGACAGTTTACTAACATAGCACCAGTGTTGGGTCGGGGAGGGATTACATTTATTTAGGTGGCTGCAGAGGGCAGAACTAGGATCTGTAAGTAAAAATTCCCAAGAGGCAAATACCAGCTGAATATATACTTCATTTCAAACTGCTATCTATTCATTGAATAAACAGGCTTGAAAATTGACGAACTTCACACCACTAAAGTATCCAAACAGAAGTAAGAATGTTGTCCATGTAATACTATCACAGGGTGGGAGATTGGACTCTTCAAATTTCAGTATTCTTTAAAATTGTTTTTTTTACTGTTAGTATTCGTTTTTCTCTTATCATTATTCCAACCTACATACGGGCTCTTCTTACCTTTTGAGATATTATAAACAATTTCAGTGTAAAGTAAGTGTTTCTCCCATTCAGACTTTAACTTGTTGCCTCAGAACTAAGTATTGTTAATAGTTTTCTGTGCATATTTCCAGAAGTTTTTTTATTAAGTTTTTTAATTCCAGTATTGTTAACATACAATGTTCTGTTAGTTTCAAGAGTACAACACAGTGATTCAACACTTCTGTACGTCACCCAGCACCCATCACAAGTGCACTCCTTAATCCCCGTCACCTGTTTCACCCACCCCCCACCCATCTCTCCTCTGGCAAACATCAGTTTGTTCTCTGTAGTTAAGAGGCTGTTTCCTGGTTTCTCTCTCTCTCTTTTTTTCCCCTTTGCTCATTTGTTTTGTTTCTTAAATTCCACATGTGAGTGAAATCATATGGTATTTGTCTTTCTCCAACCAACTTATTTCATTTAGCATTATACTCTCTAGCTCCATCCATGTTGTTGCAAATGGCAGGATATTCTTTGTTATGGCTGAATAATATTTCATTGTATATGTATACCACAATGTCTTTATCCATTCATCTATCAGTAGACACTGGGGTTGCTTCCATAATTTAGCTATTGAAAATAATACTGCATGCAATAAAGAGGGATGCATGTATCCTTTGAATTAGTTTTTTTTCAATTTGGGGGGTAAATTTTAACTATAGAATTAAATACATAATGCATGTGCTGTTAGATAGGTAACCACAAATAAGTACGCATAAATTTCATTTATAATGTCTTTTGAAAATAATACCAGGAAGAACCTGTAACTCCATCAAGAGAAGTAAAAGTGTTCACCATGTAAGAAATCACCACTCATATTAACAGAGTTAGACGTGAATTTAATGAGTGTGAGATTTTTTGCTCAGTCTCCTTCTGAAGAACAAAATAACTGCAGGTGAGGGCTATAAGGAAAATTCAGAAGGGAGTTATATTAGATACAGTGCTCTCAGAATCAGACAATTTTATGAGGCTGGCAAAATTACTTACCTCACCACCCTCTCTCATTAACTTACTGGTTAGATATATGTGAAGCCCACGGCATATAAAAGATACTCAAAATATGTTGGTTCTCTCCATTGAAGTCTCATAAAATACTTTCTATTTGAAACCAATTCCATCATCTCTTGAAGATTCAACAGCTTCCAGAGTAACATACAAACATCGATTTATACTAGAAACCAATACTAGTGATGGTCACTTAACAGAAAAGTTAGGGAGATAGCAATTCTCTAAGAGCACACTTTCTAAATTGAGATTGATGCACTAAATACAGCTTATCAAATGGTAATGATTTGTATTTTAAAATAAATATTCTCTAAATTCAATAACTGTCTATGAAGACCAGCATATTTTTCCCTCTCTAGTGGCACATGAAATTGGATCTTTTTTTTTTTAAGATTTTATGTATTTATTTGACAGAGAGAGAGAGAGCAAGCACAAGCACGGGGAGCAGCTGTGGCAGAGGGAGAAGCAGGCTCCCCACTAAGCAGGGAGCCCGGTGCGGGGTTTGATCCCAAGATCCTGGGATCATGACTTGAGCTGAAGGCAGATGCTTAACTGACTGAGCCACCCAGGCACCCCGAAATTGGATCTTTTTGAATGATGTAATACTAATCTGAAAGTCTGACATCAAAGCTCCAGCAGTTTAATTAGAAGTTTTTCAAAGGGTTAACATGTTTCTCATGCTTCCTAAGTAAACAGCATAACTGAGCCTTCAAGATATTAACACTCTTTGGGATGAGACAGATCCAAACATGGAAACACAGATACCATGTTCCTATTCCATCCCTTCTCATTGAAAAGGTACTCAATTTGGTTTTAGGAACTGACATGAGGGGACAAATGACTGGCCACATCCTCCTTCCCACTCAACTCTGACCTTTTTGTTTGTTTTTTTAAAGGTAGTTCCTTAGCCTTGGAATAGATATAACCTTGGTGCAATGTAGTAACTGAGAGTCGCCTTTACATTTACAATAAAAGGATCTATTTCAAACTCTCAGCAAAGGAAGGCGGGTGAGAGGCATGTAAGAATGTTAGATAAAATGCAGGACATCCATGCAATATTTGGGACATACTTATATGGAAAAATCAGACATTATTTATCTGAATGGGACATATTTATATTTTATTTTATTTTTTTAAAAGATTTTATTTATTTATTTGACAGAGAGAGAGAGAGTGAGAGCAGGAACACAAGCAGGGGGAGTAGGAGAGGGAGAAGCCTGCTTCCTGTAGAGCGGGGAGCCCGATGTGGGGCTCGGTCCCAGGACCCTGGGATCATGACCTGAGCCGAAGGCAGACACTTAACGACTGAGCCACTCAGGCTCCCCAAGGGACATATTTATATTTTAAAACATATTCGTTGTTTACCTGAAATTTAAATTTAACTGCATGTCCTGTATTTTTGTTTGCCAAATTTGGCAACGCTACTGGTATATAATAGACAAAAATATTACTATCTCTGTAGTGCCCATGTGTACTGCTGTGTGAAGCTCACAGTTTTCAGAAATTATAATAAAATATTTGGTGTCCCTGGAACTGAGAATTTGTTGGTATCTTAGGCTAGAGTTTTATGTTTTAAAATTTCAATATAATGGGTAATGATTGTTTACAGTTATTGTGTGCTTAGCAAGTTTAGAATGTTTAATGATTTAAGCCCATGTAAAACATCAATGAATAAGCCTTTTGCAGTTTCCCTGACCACCATCTGGCCCCTCCCCACAAACCAAGAGCAAACAAAGGTGCCTGGACTGCTACTGTTAAGCTGAGAACAGAGACTCCAAATGCCAAACTACCTAGTACAAAGGGAGTCCTGTCACAGAACCAGGCAGCCAGTCTGCATCAGGGGACAAATGAGATAGAACCTGGGTTGGCATATTTGGCCACCATGAAGATATAAAAGGAACTGAGAAAGAGAAAGAAGAGAGATTTGGGATATCAAAATCCTCAGTGCTGCACGTGATTCCTTTCCCCCCATCTCTGCACTCCAGAGGGATAGGAGGTGAGGTGGTACTAGATGTAACCCCTGGAGCTTGACAGGTACTTATGCACATTCAGACAGGCCCTGACTTCTCATCTGGAGTTCGCAGAGCAGCAGGACCCATGCATTTACTCTCCAGAGCCAACAAAGCATGCTAGAAAAAGCGTACACCCTCTTTAGAGGGGAAAGGTCCGCCTCTTTGTGTCTACCCACACTTCTTGTGTGCCTGGGGCGGGGGGCATGGCTAGGATCCCCATGGGCCCAGGAACTACAGAAGGTAGACAATTGTGATTTCAGCCCCATAGAAGCCGGATGAGGCAAAGGTACTCCATGGGGTGGGAGAAGTTACTGCATTCTGTGGGACACCTGCTGACAGGGCTCAGACCATTAAATATGCCACACAGTAAATAGTGCCCAGTAGCTGGTGCAGCCGGCTCAAAGGCCAACACTCTGAGGAGTTGTCACAAGCCCTCCAGGTCTCACAGACAAGCCCTGGGTGTGAAGTGGACCCCCTTCCCTTAGTGGCAGGCCCACAGGAAATCATGAGCCCAGTGAAAGTAAAAGCAGGTGCAGAGGGAAAGCTGGGAAGAGAGAGTCATGAGGAAATTTCTTACCCAAGCTACAGAATTTGACCTAGAGCCCAACTGAAAACAATAATACTTGGATTTGATCAACTACTTACCATAACCAGGCTATAGAATGGAAATTATGACTTACTGAAAAATAGATATTAAAAGTTTGCATATAGCAAAGGGTCACTTCCACACATGTATTATCTCATTTAACTATCATAACTACTCTTTGATGTAGGTCCTATTATTCTCATGTTACAGAAGAGCAAAGTGAGGCATGGAGAGTTGATTTGGTGGTTTGCTGCAGGTCACCCAAGGAGTAAGTGGCCAGGATAAATCCAAGAAGTCAGATTGCAAGCAGTCCTAACCATTACATTCTACTGCAGCTCTGTAAGGTAATTTTGACACTTCTTCCTGGGCCCCCCAAAGATGTGGATAGTTGAGTGGGTAAAGTAGGGAGTGATACAGCAGTTTCACATCCAACAGATAACCCTTCACAGAACATTTGCCATGGAGAACCATCCCTGAAAGCAGTGACCTGAAGAAAGGACCACAGCTCTGTGCTTGCTAGGGAG